TTTTTTTTTTTTTTTTTTTTTACTTCTTTCTTTGTTGGCCTAGCGGTTAATCTTTTGACACATAACTCTCTTTAGGCTGTTTTTGGTAAGCATATAAGATAACTTATAGCTTATTTGATTAGCTTATAAGTTTCTTTCATTCAAATAAGCCTGGTTTGGCAGGATGTGCGTTTTTAAAAAGCTCGAGCTTATCTTATAAGCTTTTCTTTCGGTAGCTTTTCAAATAAGCTTATTGAAGTTTTTATTTTAGTTAGCTTATCAGCTAATTTTACCAAACATAAGCTAGATTTTTGGTCATAAGTTATAAGCTATCAATTATAAGATCGAAATTCACTTAAGAGCTATAAACTAGCTTTGGTAGAACTAGCTGATAGTATTCAGTTAATCGATAATCATAAAAGCTACATACTTGAAGGAATTGCAAATGCTTAATCGATAATATTCACTTGAAGGAATCATAAAAGCTACTTAATCGATAATCGTAAAACTAGCTGATAGTATGTCTAATTACTGTAAAACTCGACTCTTAAAGGAATTGCAAATGCTTCCTTCATGTTTGTTTCGATTTTATAGATCACAATCTGTAGAGTTTTTGTACTAGCTCAAGATTTTTTTATAACTACGATAAAACTTCTGCAATGGAATTTCACAGGTGTTAAATGCAGCATCAGCTCTCTTGGTAAGTGGGCACGTCGAAACTCTTGCCCAGGGAGTAAATCTTGCTCGGGACACACAACAATCGGGAAAAGCTTTTGAGACGCTCAATCTTTGGATTAGTGAATCAAATGTAAGAAAATATAAGGATGTAATAATGATTACCTCTTCTCCTATTTCGACACGAGCTAACATCTATAATATACTTCACTTCTTTCAGAAAGCGAAAGAGGCGGTTAACCATAGTGGCACTCCCATTCTTGCATGAAAGCCAATGGTACGAGTTTGAGGTTAAACACTGACATTTTCGTCCCTAATGACAACAAAAAAAATTACATTTACTGAGTCTGTAACTTTCGGATGCGGCATTTTCGTTTTTTTTTCGGCTATCCAAGTTGTAAATTTATCTGAGGTAATAAAGCTTGCTGTTGTATTCCTTTGAAAATCATCCACTATTCTGTTGTATTCCTTGAGAATTTTATACACTGATATATAGAACTTGAAACTGTGAGAGCATGGTCTACATTTCTTGTGTTTCTTGATACTGTGAAAATATTTCTTGATTTTGATCTATTAATTTCGGCGAAATTGCAATTTTAGTCATGTTGGTTTGATTTGATCCGGTGACATTTTTAGTCTTAGAATTTAACATTTTTGCTATTTGGTCCTATGATTTTAAAATTCAACGCAATTTCAGTCATTTGGAACTGAAAATGCAATAAATTTAAAATTAGAGGACTTAATTTGTTAATAAAAAAATTTTTCGATGCATTTTTTATTAGCAATTTAAATCATGTAATTTTAAATTTAGTTGCAATTTCAGTCACGAAGGACTGAAATTGCGGCAAAATACTAAATTACAGAATTAAAAGACAAAAAATTGAAGTTTTGGGACTAAAAATGCTACATCGTTAAACCAACAGGACTAAAAATACAATTTTGCCAGCCGAACCTTCAAGATTGATAGTGGGCTGGGCCCCTTGTCAATCATGTTTGAACAAAGCAGATCATTATAGCCCAGGCTATCTAACCCGCCCCACCCAATCTGGTCTAGTTTGTTTTATTTATTTATTTATTTATTTTTATGTAGTATAATTATCAAAAGTTACACATACTTTGGATCTAAGATAATAGTATCATTATCAAAATTTATGTAACTTTTGCATCTAATCCATTATCTCAATTAATTATCTTTTGAAGATTTTCAGTCGAGCTAGGTATATTATTGTTATCAATTTACAGTTACTATGTTAAATATCGATATAAACAATTATTTTAAACATCTAAATACATCAAAAGAATAATTTAACTGAACATCTTTCGAATATTATGTGAAATATTGTTTTATGTGTAGTATTAAAAAAATGAATAATTTGATTTTGTAAACATATAAGAGATAAAAATATGATAATTAAACTTAATATGTTATAAAAATAATAAAATGTATAATTGATAGGATAGGCATTTGGAATTATGTTCGCGGATAAATATTGTTTTTTGGATAATATATAATAATTAGTATTTATTTTCTTAATTATTTTAGTGGAATTTATGGAAAAAATTCATTTATCAAGTCTATTAATTTTATTTCACTTTCACTAATTTGTTAGATTAATAAATAAATATTTTAAAAATATAGAAAAATGATAAAAGAAATTAAAATCAACATAACTTAGCAAAAAATCAACATAGGAAACATACCTAAATTGTACTCATTTACATTGACTGAAGTACATAAATTATCGGCTGAGGTTGTTAGCGATGGGGCCCACACTTTACCAATAAAAGGGACCTGAAAATAAATAATCAGAAGTATAACTTTTTTTCCGCATACTATCATTTTAGCCCTTTCACTCTGTTAAAATTTCCCTCAAAATTCGAGTGGATAAAACCGGAAAACTCTCTCTCTCTCTCTCTCTCTCACGCACAAACACGCACAAACAGAAAATCGGCGGCCGAGTTGAGCCGACCTGAGCTGAGCAGCTGCTAATCCGGCGGCGCCGGACGATGTCGTTTTGAGTGCTTTAACTGTAAACCCGCGCCATGAGCTTGAGTCTCGGCTCCGACTCTTCCGTTTCTTCACCGGACGCCGTGGAGTGGAGGTTTTCCCAAGCGTTTGGCGATAAGCTCCCCGGAGAAAGTATACAGGACGGTGAGTTCAGTTTCTGAAGCCTGCGGGCTGTGTTTGGGCTTTGTTTCATCGAATTTGTTTGTGATTTTGCGAGTTTGTGTTGGGAATAATTTGGTTTGTTTGGTTGTGTGTTTGGTTGGTTTTTGGCATAGCTGATCTTATTACGGCGCTTGAGTTCGATAAGAATGGAGATCACCTGGCCGTGGGCGATCGAGGAGGTCGCGTTGTCATCTTTAAGCGGGATGGTGGTAAAGATGTGCGAAATTTCCCTTTTCTTTCTTTTTTTTTTTTTCAATTTTATCAGTTTTTGGCTTGCGAGGAAGCAATTTACCTTTTTAAGCATGTTGCGGAGGATGCGAAATGCATGAACTGGATTAAGTGTGCATAGTGGAAATGTTTGATTTTTTGGTTTATTGTGGAAGACTGGAAGTCTGAAGTACTGTAGCATGAGATTGACATGAAAAGTTGGCACTTCCTAGATACATAATTTTCGTTTTAGTTGTGTTGAACTGCACCCTGTTTTTTATTTTGTTGTTTTTCTATCTTAACTCCACTGAATTGGTTGGATGATGTGTGCCTTAAAGATAATGGTATTGAAAGTTAATATGTCTACACGTGTTGCTTGTGAGTTGGTTGATGGCGCGTGCCTTAACGATAAATGTGCGCTGTTGAAAGTTAATGCATCTACATGTGTTGTCTGTGATCGATCAAACAGGAGAGTAGAATAACACGTGTCTTAAAGGTGAACGAGCGTCATTGAATGTTTTAATGAATCAACGTGTCATCCATGTGATCAGTGAA